TTCTTTTGATCATCTTTCATCTGAAATGAAAGGAAAATCTTCTATTGAAAGTCGAGTTTTGACCATTGCAATTATTTCCTTCTCCTTACTACTAGGAAACGATGTAGTTAAAGTCAGAATTCTTCTTCTTTTGGTCGTCATTCATTTAAAATGAATGGAAAATCTCCTACATAAAGTCCAGTATTTTTCTTTAAAATTATGTCCTTCTGTTGAACAACAGGAAACAATTTAGTTAAAGATTAATCTCTTTCCCTTCTGACCGTCTATCATCTGAAATGAAAGGAATATCTTCATCAGAAGTCTTGTTTTAACCAATGCAATTATTTCCATCTGTTAAACAGGAAACGATGTAGTTAAATATAGATCTCTTCTTCTTTTGATCATCTTTCATCTGAAATGAAAGGAAAATCTTCTATTAAAAGTCCAGTTTTGACCATTGCAATTATTTCCTTCTCCTTACTAACAGGAAACGATGTAGTTAAAGATAGATCTCTTCTTCTTTTGATCATCTTTCATCTGAAATGAAAGGAAAATCTTCTATTAAAAGTCCAGTTTTGACCATTGCAATTATTTCCTTCTCCTTACTACTAGGAAACGATGTAGTTAAAGTCAGAACTCTTCTTCTTTTGGTTGTCTTTCATTTCAAATGAATGGAAAATCTCCTACATAAAGTCCAGTATTTTTCTTTAAAATTATGTCCTTCTGTTGAACAACAGGAAACAATTTAGTTAAAGATTGATCTCTTTCCCTTCTGACCGTCTTTCATCTGAAATGAAAGGAATATCTTCATCAGAAGTCTTGTTTTAACCAATGCAATTATTTCAATCTGTTAAACAACAGGAAACGATGAAGTTAAAGATAGATCTCTTCTTCTTTTGATCATCTTTCATCTGAAATGAAAGGAAAATCTCCTATTAAAAGTCCAGTTTTGACCATTGCAATTATTTCCTTCTCCTTACTAACAGGAAACGATGTTGTTAAAGATAGAACTCTTCTTCTTTTGATCATCTTTCATCTGAAATGATAGGAAAATCTTCTATTAAAAGTCCATTTTTGACCATTGCAATTATTTCCTTCTCCTTACTAACAGGAAACGATGTAGTTAAAGATAGAACTATTCTTCTTTTGATCATCTTTCATCTGAAATGAAAGGAAAATCTTCTACTGAAAGTCGAGTTTTGACCATTGCAATTATTTCCTTCTCCTTACTACTAGGAAACGATGTAGTTAAAGTCAGAATTCTTCTTCTTTTGGTCGTCATTCATTTAAAATGAATGGAAAATCTCCTACATAAAGTCCAGTATTTTTCTTTAAAATTATGTCCTTCTGTTGAACAACAGGAAACAATTTAGTTAAAGAATGATCTCTTTCCCTTCTGACCGTCTTTCATCTGAAATGAAAGGAATATCATCAATTAAAGATCGATTTCTTTTTTTTATCTCTTATAATCTGAAATGACATGAATGTCTTCTTTTATCTGAAATAAAAGGAATATTTTCTTTCATCTGAAAGAAAGGCATATCTTCTATTATAAGTTTAGTTTGTTTTTTTGAAATAGTTTTCTTTTGTTTAGCACCAAGATATGATGTAGTTTTTAGAGAGTATTCCTTTTTACCTAGATTTCTTTCATCTTAAATGAAAGGAATATCTTTTGTTAAAAGTCCTTTTATCCTGTTCAAATATTCCTTCTGTTTTAAAACAGTAAAGGATGTATTTGAAGATCTAACTCTTTTTTTTCTTATCGTCTTTTACCTGCAATAAAAGGACTATCTTCTATTGGTATTTCTCTTTTTACCTTTGCAATTGTTTTCTTCTGTTTAAAAACAGAAAATTATATAGGTGAATGTCGAATTCTTTTTCTTTTTATATTTTTTCATCAAAAATGAAATGAATGTCTTATTTTAAAATTCCAGTCGTTTACTTCACATTGAAGTTATTCTTTTCAACAATTAGAATTGATGTTTGAAAGGAATTATTTTTCTTCGCAATTAGTATCTCTGTTTAACAGCAGAAAATGATTTATCGCATGCGATGTTAAGTGTAACATATGGGACATAATATATCACATAGCTTATTCCTAATTTGTAAGTTTCTACTTGAAGTAAAAAATACAGTATTATCAAAGTAAGTATATTTTTAAATGTTGCTTAAATGCGAAGCATAATAACGGTGTCTAAAAATAAACTTTAATGAAAATCAATTTTGTTAGGTTGACTTGTATTAAATTTACAATTTATGAAAACAATTTTTAATTATGGAATGTGCTTAAACTGATTTAATGTTTGTTATATGTATTATCTCATGAGACTAGTCACTTGTGTCTCATGTATCCTTGAGTGTCAAAATCATTTTAAGGGGGGAAACTCGTGTAAAAAAAATTTTTTTAACAATTTTTGTTTTGTTTTGAAAATTAGTTAACTTTGAGCACGAGATCCCTCTATTCTTTCGGTTTCTTGTCAATATAATTTTATTGATTGTCATTAGCAAGCACCGTAAGCAAGTCATAGAAAATGTTTGTTTTAGTGCAATAGTTATTTTCGAATACATAACGTTTTCAAGGCAATACTTAAAACACTACTTTTATGTATCGAAAACTTTATACACAACTCTTCTTTATTTTACTGGCAATTGCATGACGAGCTCCTTTTTAAAAAAAAATTTAACTATTGTTTTTGAAAATTGTTTAAAAAAAGAAAAGTGATATTTTTCAAAATGATCCCCAATTTTCAAAGAAAATTTGTTTAGTTCTCTCATTGTCATGTCAAGCGTATTTGCGTATTTTAACAGTAAAAATTTTGTTTTTTAATTTTCGTTGAGATTTTTGATCTGTAGGCTGCACGGTGCAAAATCAAAGATACAACTTCAAACGCCTGTAACGCCTTCATTTTGTAATATTTTTTAATAAAAAAATTTTTTTATACAGCTTATATTGTGTACTTTAAGGTATGCTTAACTTTAATTCAATAAACTTTACCAGGTTTTTAAAAAAAATTCCTAAAAAAACATGCATTTACACAAGTTTCCCCCTTAACGAGCTGCAGAAAATTCATGAATGAGGTTAGACTGACGGTCAATATATCAAATTTCAGGTAAAGGACAAAAGAATGTTATAAAATATAGGTATTTTAAAAATTTTAAATTATAAAACCTGAGCAAATTGCGCGTACATTAAGAATATTTTTTTACCTTAAAATTATGGAACATTACACTTCCATTGCTCCTTATGATTAGAATAATAGCTCTAAAATTGAACCGTATAGCAAAAGAAAATGATGTAGTTGGAGAGTAAATTCTTCTTCTTTTTATCATCTTTCGTCTTTAGTGAAAGCAACATTTTCTTGTAGAGGTTAACTGGATTTTTATACATTATATTACTATTGTTTTACAGCAGGAAATCATGCAGCACCATAATGAGTGAAACTTACGAGTTACAATGCTATATAAGGGAACATTTCTAGTAATATTTATATTAGGAACATGCAAAACAAATAAAAATCGTTTTTTTAATCGCCGAATGTGGACTCAGAGTTGCCAATGATCCTACCTGAACGCTACTGCGCTTGCGCTACGACAACTCTCTTATAGGTCGAAAAAAGCACGCTTATATAATAATAATAAGAAATAATAAATATTTCTTAATAATAAGAAAACTTTAATAAAGCAATATAAAAATATTTTCACTATTGAATTTATTTTTTTTTGTTAATTATATTGCTTTGTAATAAAAAAATATTAATTTACTTTATGTACTTAAGTATGTAATAATAATAATAATAATTATTATAATATTAATAATTTTATTATATTTATATCATTATTATTTTTTTATAAAATATATAATCTATTTTTATTATCATCAATTTAACATTTAATAATTAATTATGTAATATTTTATTTATTTTTGTTATTATTATCATTAAATTATTATTAATTAATTGACCTTTTTTGACCTATAAGAGAGTTGTCGTAGCGCAAGCGCAGTAGCGTTCAGGTAGGGTCATTGGCAACTCTGTGTGGACTGACCCCTGTATAGAAAATAGTATTTAAGAAGAGAAGATAAATTTTAAGTTTAAAATTTCAAATAGAAAAAAAATTTCATAGATACACTTTTAAACGAATTTATCATTTCTGTGATACAATAAATAAGTAAAATAATTATTTTTGAGTTGTATAATTCTTCTCAAACAATATTATATTATTTTAATACAGTATAAATTATATAATATAGTAACAATTATATTAAGTATATAAATTCAATGTTAATAAACAAATTAAATTGATTGTAACATAAAAATGAAATTAATTATTTTTTGTATTCCTATTTGAAATTATGCAGTAGGCGTCGGTTTATTTGTAATCGGTTTAAGGGATAACACCACTCTCGAGGCAGAAAACAAAGACCTATCTGTGATTATGTATTTTGGGAAAATGAAAAAAAGAATAGGATTCCTTTTTAGAGGGCCTATTAACTACATAATATTTAAGTGTAAAAAAAATTTCACTTGAAGTTTTACTACAAAATGGCGGCGATAGATGCAATATATTAAATCGACTACTCATTTTTCATACTAAAACGGGCGGAAAAGATTCTTGAGCAGTTTAAGACCTGGGACAAAAAACCAAGAAATTTCATAAACTATATACTATTAGCTTCACAAGTACAGATGGATTTTTTTATATAAATTTTTGTAGAAATTGCTGAACCTTTTAGTAAATTAATCTAAGAAAAAACCGAAAAATTTACTAAAAAGTTATGCCATATCTATAAAAATTGATATAAAAAACCCATACGTACTTCCAAAACTCATAGGTAGTATATAGATTATGAAATTTCTTGGTTTCTTGTTCCAGGTCTTAAACTGCTCAAGAAACCTTTCCGTCCATTTTGGTCTGAAAAACGAGTAGTCGACCTAATATATGGCGTCTATCGACGCCATTTTGTAGTAAAATTTCAAGTAAAATTTTTTTTTGAACTTCAATATGTAGTTAATAAGCCCTCTAGAAAGAAATCTTATTTTTTTTTATTTTCCGAAAAAAAAACATCACAGATAGGTCTATTTCTTCTGCCTCTAGCGTGGTGTTAACCATTAATTGATCATAAATACGCGTTGAAAGGTAATGTAATGTTAGTAAACAAATTAAAATGATTGTAATTTATGAATTGAAATATAGAAATTAATTATTTTTTGTCTGTGATTGAGACTTGTGTGCACAATATGACCGTGATTGATATCTGTGTGCTTCAGGTGTTCGTGATCGAGATCTCCGCGATCGTGATGTTCGTGATCGAGATCTCCGTGATCCAGTTGACTTCGTTAGAGATTTGTGTACACGATATGACCGTGATCGAGATTTGTATGCTTTAGGGGTTCGCGATTGTGATGTTCGTGATCGAGATCTCCATGATTCAGATACCTTCGTTTGAGATTTGTGTGCACGATATGATCGTGATCGAGATCTGTGTGCTGTAGGGGATCGCGATCGAGATTTTCTTAAAAAAGTTGTTCGTGATCGAGATCTTCGCGTTCTATATGTTTGTGATCGAGATCTCCGTGATCGTGATGTTAGTGATCGAGATCTCCGTGATCCATATACTCTTGTTTGAGATTTGTGTGTACGATATGACCGTGATCGAGATCTGTGTACTTTAGGGGTTCGCGATCGAGATTTTAGTAAAAAAATAGTCTGTGATCGAGATCTCCGTGATCGTGATGTTAGTGATCGAGATCTCCGTGATCCATATACCCTCGTTTGAGATTTGTGTGCACGATATGACCGTGATCGAGATCTGTGTACTTTAGGGGTTCGCGATCGAGATTTTCGTAAAAAAGTAGTCTGTGATCGAGATCTCCGTGATCGTGATGTTAGTGATCGAGATCTCCGTGATCCATATACCCTCGTTTGAGATTTGTGTGCACGATATGACCGTGATCGAGATTTGTGTGCTTTAGGGGTTCGTGATCGAGATTTTCTTAAAAAAGTTGTTCGTGATAGAGATGTCGGTGATCGAGATCTTCGCGATCGTGATGTTTGTGATCGAGAACTCCGTGCTCCAGATGCCCTTGATTGTGTTGGTGATGGAGTTCTTTGTAATCGTGATCTGATTCTCCATGGTTGCTCTTTTTGTGAATTTAATTCTCTTAAGACCCTTTTGTGAATCATGTCATAAGCTGCAGATCTGTTTGTAATTTTTGAAATTTTCTTTGGTGGACCTAAAATAAATTTTGTTATTAATCTTTTTTATAATTTTATTTGGAAATTTTTTTATTTTTCTTTTCTATAGGAGAAAAGTGGCTTTTGACGTGATATATTGAAGTGTAAAAAAAAATTTCACTTGAAGTTTTACTACAAAATGGCGGTGATAGATGCCATATATTAAATTGACTACTCATTTTTCATACTCTAACGGCCGAAAAGATTCTTGAGCAGTTTAAGACGTGGGACAAAAAACCAAAAAATTTCATAAACTATATACTATTAGCTTCACAAGTACAGATGGATTTTTTTTATATAAATTTTTATAGAAATTGCAGAACTTTTTAGTAAATTAATCTAAGAAAAAACCGAAAAATTTACTAAAAAGTTGTGCCATATCTATAAAAATTGATATAGAAAAACCCATACGTACTTCCAAAACTCATAGTATATTATGAAATTTCTTGGTTTTTTGTTCCAGGTCTTAAATTGGTCAAGAAACCTTACCGTCCGTTTTGGTCTGAAAAATGAGTAGTCGACCTAATATATGGCGTCTGTCGCCGCCATTTTGTAGTAAAATTTCAAGTAAAAATTTTTTTTGCACTTCGTTATGTAGTTAATATGCCCTTTAGAAAGAAATCCTATTTTTTCAATTTTCCCAAAAAAACAGATAGGTCTATTTCTTCTGCCTCTAGAGTGGTGTTACCCCTTAAATAGAGCGTACCGAAATTAGTTAATATCGATTGTTATTAATTGAATCATTTTTATATATTAGTGCTACTACTTAGGAATGCGTTTCTTGAAATATCTTGAAACCACTCTGAATGCAAGTATCCTTAACTTCTACAATATTTAATCTAGGAATCACAAAATAGTATGTATGTATCTTTTTACGTTTATATTATTTGAAAAATATAGACAATTCGATTGCAAGTCATTATATTTAGTTATAAAAGAAAGAGATCTGATTTTTTCTAAAAAAATTACATTTTAGCCTTCTTTACCTTCTACCATTTTGGACCCAAGAAGTTAAAATTTAGTATACATGTGTATACATATAATAATAATTTTTTGTATTCTATAAATAACAGAAAAAATAAACTGCATATGATTTGATTTTACAGTTTCCACACAACAAATTATATTTAACAAATATTTCATAAAATTTTTTTAAACATTTCCATGTAAGGTTCATGAAATGTTGATGATAAAAGGAAAATGTCCGACCATTGAGAAGAATATACTCTTAATACTATTCTTTTCTACATATGAAGACTCTGCAATATTCAAAAAATATTTCATAGAAAATTTTGACTCACGAATTAATCAGTATTTTCTAACATATCAGTGTCCATAGGATTCTAAAAAACTAACAGCTACTGTGCAACTGTACATGTCATAGAAACTGAGATCGACCAGTGCGAATCATTTAAGTCGAAAATTTATAAAAATTTTCACTAAAATATTTATGCAACGAACGCTGAAATATTTCCTCAGATGCGGACATTTCACTCATTTTAACAACATTTCATAGACTTTGCATTAAGATTATGTGATTTCTCACGTAAATATTCTCCGAATGCAACTCACACTTGCTGGATTTTTTCTGTATTAACTCAGCGATACTATCTCATCAAAAGAATATTTAAACGGTATGAATTAATTTACTGGTACAATAAAAGTAAAGTAAATATCAATTACACATTACCTTCTCCAACATTTCTTGTATGTTTAGTAGATAGTGTCTTTGGTGAAATTATATTTTCTTTATTTTCATATTTTTTCACGTCATTTTTTGTTTTATTTGAATAAATATAAATATCTAAAAAAAACAGAGAGATGTTATGTTGTTTTCTTGTTAAATCCACAGTTATTTAGTATTTATTACAAATGTGGATATCACAATAAAATAAAAAATCCATAAACCTTTAACATCTTTACTACTATCTTAAAAAATTATAGAATTAAAAAAAAATTCTTTCTTAATATTAACTATCCTCCGCATGCCAGACATACTTTTTAAATTATTGACATGAATGTTACGTTAGGTACTTTTTCTCGTAAAGCGTCACATATTTGTATAAATTTATGTACCTAATAAATTTATACTCATAAATTCTAAAACTCAAATTGCATTTTTAATTGAAACAGCTTTTGCAACTCGAGTAGAAAAATCGATTAGACTCCAAGTGGGGCCCAACTGGGACAACCAGACAATGACTAATCTGAGCTTGTCTCATCCGAATCAAATTCCAAACTCTCCACATTTTTTACTCGTACCTAATTATTATTCTAATCTCTAAATTCATGCATATAATTTTCTATCAAAATAAAAAATACGTTATTACGGAACAAGAATATTGTATATTTTCAGATTTTGTCATAATTAAAAAAAATCCTAGGTAAGATCGTCCATGTCCCAATAGTCGGCCACTTTATTTTTATTTTTAAAATAAAAAGAAATCACTTATGTAAAAAAATAAAAAATTCTTTAGTCTCAATAGTACGTCATTTTCTACTATGCATACCAAAGTTTAAATAATATTTATATATTATGAATTAAAAAATGTTGGTGACCGACTACTGTAGCTACATTTCCTTAAATGGCCTTCTACTGTATCATTCACCCTATATATGGTTAGAAAATGTTGGAATTTATAAAATATTTCTGAAGTGAATTTATTAATCAAATTTAATTTAATATTTCATTTAGATAAAAGTAAAAAATTTAATTTTAGTTAAAAAATTATTAAAATTTTAAACAAGTATTGAAATGTTTTATGAAAAAAAAGAAATAATAATAATAATAATAATAAATAATAGAAGTAATGATTTAATTATAATTATGGCGTTAATATACACTACCGTCCGAAATTGTGCGAACTCTGCTTTTTCAACAACTATAAAACTGTTCAAATCTTCAAAAATATTAAAACTAAAATTTTTTCCTCTTTATTTTATTAAAGTTAATAAAATTCTGAAAAAAATGACACCTTGACAAAGAGAATATGTTAATTTTTCATTTAGATATCTAAGAAAAACCCAATTTTCAATGTTTTTACTATTTTTTTTATTTCTCTGCCAAAAATTAATATTTTGTAACGTTCTTAGGCTCATTGAAATCGTATTTTGTTATGCAATTCAAATTATATAAAACAATTCATGTACACATTCTTCCCTAGCGTATGCAAACCGTGAAAGTTGGCTCATAAAATGTCAAAAAATTGTGATTAATATTTATATGACAAAAAATGATCAGTAAAATGTATAAATTTTAAATTTACTTACATAAATCAGAGAAGTTTAGAATGATATATTTACTTGATTTTTAAACATTATATTTTATTGTAGAATTAAATTTAAATTTTTTGACATTTTATGAGCCAACTTTCACGGTTTGCATACACTAGGGAAGAATGTGTACATGAATTGTTTTACATAATTTGAATTGCATAACAAAATACGATTTCAATGAGCCTAAGAACGTTTAAAAATATTAATTTTTGCCAGAGAAATAAAAAAAATAGTAAAAACATTGAAAATTGGGTTTTTCTTAGATATCTAAATGAAAAATTAACATATTCTCTTTGTCAAGGTGTCATTTTTTTCAGAATTTTATTAACTTTAATAAAATAAAGAGGAAAAAATTTTAGTTTTAATATTTTTGAAGATTTGAACAGTTTTATAGTTGTTGAAAAAGCAGAGTTCGCACAATTTCGGACGGTAGTGTATTATTTTAAAAAATACTATCGTTACTTATCAATTAAAGTACACATTGTTAAAATTTCAGAAAATACCATTTGTGATTAAAATGGGTTTACCTAAATTAAACTATTGAGTATGACAAGATAAAAACTTTTTTGAAAATTTTATTCAGGAAATTTTTAAAAAGAAAAATAGTAATGTTAATATAAATAAATAAAAAACAACTTTTTGTTACAAAAATTTAAATAAATTATATTTTTCATAAGCTTATTTTCAATATACTGATTTGGGGTGGGTTTTGAGTGGAAGTCCAATTTAGGCCAGATTGATACCTAATCCCAGTTTGGGCTACTTTGGGAAAATTTCTTCACGGTAAGTGGTACAAGAAATCTGACAAAATTTGGTGGTCACTCCACAAAGTAAAAATGTTTACTACTTATAAATTAAGCTGTTATTAAGTTCAATTTTAAATTTTGAAAAAAATTTTATTTAAATAAATTCTATGTGGGACTTTGTAATCGATCCTACATCAAATTTCATGTGATTAATCTATAAGGGATTTCATATGGACCCTTCCACCAAATCCTGTTCGAAATTCTGGTGTGCTTTTATATGAGTACTTTCATGGATTATTACGTGTAATATATTATATGTTTCAATGTGGAATTCCATGTGGGTTTTTTGAGTACACGAAAAAAAGTACGGGGAACTTCAATTGACTGAGTGCTTGACTTTTGGATAGATCTAAAAATCCGTTTAATAATAAAAGCCTATCTTTAAAGAAATGAGAATCAGACCAAGAAAGGTTTTAAAACTTTGAAACATTATTTTCAAGAAATTACTAGAAAATTTCTTGTACCACAATATAATTTAAAAATACATTTTTTAAACTATAACGGGATGCAAACCTCCTAAACCTAGCATACATAATTTTAAAACGACAGTTATAACCCTACAGCCGTTTCACGCACATGATATCACGCTATCTATAGGAATCAAGAAAATTTTCAATCAAAGCAACTATTTTTTTATGTACTTTTTTTTCATGATAGTATTGAATATTTTTAGTGAATATTTTTAGTACTTTTTCATTATTTCAAATAAATATTATTTTTCTTACAAGAAAGTATATGAAATACCATCAAAATTTTCTTCTATCTAAAAGTTAAGCATTTTTAAGAAAACTTTCACATATTTTTTTCTGTTTAGGGAACTATTAAGATCAATTTTTAAAAAAATGTCCGTCTTGATGGATCCGACATTTTGAGTTATTTAAATATAAAAAATATATATAATACAATACAAATTTTACATTACATTTTGTGACGAGTTTGTTAAAATGCGGATGGTTTTATACTAAATTGTATGCTCTGTATATGTGATGTTTTACGATAAAAGGTACATTTGTTACAAAAAATTGTAGGTTATGTTTTTTGACAGTTTTATCTTGATTAAATATTCATTTTTAAATAGGGTAGGTGCACCAATTGTCGATGACTTCAGACAACATGCGACTTTCATTTTTTTCTCAGGAGTAAATATACTTAAAAATTTGAACCTTGTGAGCTAGGGCGAAGAATTTAATAATGTTTAATATTCATATTTATTTTTTTAAAATAAATTATAGTGTTAGATAAAAATTGTTTTTAAACGTCAATTGAGGAAAATCACCATTTGTCGATGGTCGTGTACCAATTTCTCGTTTTCATGCAAGGAATACAATTATTTCATATATAAACTTGAATTTAAAAAATGACAAAATTTTATTGCTAAAATGTGAATTTTTGATTTTTTAACTTTCATTAATTCTTTAAATTTAAATTAAAACTATACTTTATATATACCAATCGATTTGTCTTAACGTAAGGAATACGATTTTATTATATATAACCTTAAATTTTTCTATTTAAAAATTTTTTCGATTAAAAAAAAATTTTGGAAAAAAATGATAAAATTTTTTTTTTAGGTATTTTTTAAAATCCTTTGGTCAGATTTGAGATATAAATATGATAAATGAGCCTACCAAATTTTATTTAAATCCATTAAAACCTGTTAAAGTTATCGTCTAAACAAAAAAGGGATCCCCACACACACACACACATACATACATCCGGACAATTGATCAGGATCTTATATAACATGTTTCTATATAGAAAAAAATTTGTTTCCGCCACTTTGAAAATTTTTATAAAGGAAAAGACTACAAAGCTTCCTCCACGAGGAAGCAAAAGTATTGTTTGGTTCTTAGAAAGTAAATCTTGTCGGCCTGTGTTATTATGGTGCCATCAATATGTAATTTTATGGTGTAAATATGTATGTAATTGTAAATATAAAGTTAATTTACAAATTATTTTTGTTTTTAAAATTTTTACAACATACTATTTATTTGAAAAGAAAATTGCGATCATCGGCAATTAGTGCACCATTGGTAACTGGTACACTTACCCTATGTATAATTAAAATCAATTTTTATTGAGAATTTTGAAAGTCATGAGTGGTTTGTATTAAGAGTTGATGTTTTTTGTAAACTTTCACTTTTAAAGTCACAAAAATTTATAAAATTTTTTTAAGCTTAGGTCTATTTCACTATGAAACATGTTACCTTTTTGAAGTTGAACTTCCTTAGTTTTGATAACTTTTGGTGCTTTCTCAATTCTGATTTTTTGTTTATTATCATCAGTCTTATTTTTATTATCATCATTCTTATTTTTATTATCATCATCCTTATTTTTATTATCATCATCCTTATTTTTATTACCATCATTCTTATTTTTATTATCATCATCCTTATTTTTATTATCATCATCCTTATTTTTATTATCATCATCCTTATTTTTATTATCATCGTCCTTATTTTTATTATCATTATTCTTATTATTTTTTGAATTAACTAAAAAAGTGTAAATACTTTCAAATAACATATAATTTTATTTCGCATTAAGTTTTTTTATAGTAAAAAAAATTCAACGAAAAGTTATTCATATCGTTAGTCATAAAATGTATTTTTGTTGTTATTAAGTACTTCAATTATAATTAAGTAAATATGAGTGATGTACCCTATTGAAAATCCCTGTACAAGATCTTGTACAAGTTCAGCAGCTGAACTTGTACCTATTCTTGTGAGAACATGTACAAGATCATGTATATGTTTCGGCACCAAAATTTTGAACAAGATCTTCTACAAGTAAATATATTTAATATTTGTATACAAAAAATGTACATGTTCTTGTCCTTGTCCTTTGTTCATTGAAAACATTTGTTTTTTAAATTTGAGATTTTAATAATTTAGAATCATTAAAACCTTTTGCTTATGCATGATAAAAATACAGCTGTAAAGTCGTAAGAAAACTACTACGCAGCCTGTAAAGTTTTTTAATTTTTACTAAACGAAGATATAAATGAACCTATACAAGAAAATTTACAAGAACATGTACATTTTTTTGTATACAAATATTAAATATATTTTTTGTACACTATCTTGTGCAAGATATTGTACAAGGTTTAATACAAGATATTGTTCCAAATTCTGGTGCCGAAATTGAACAAGATCTTGTACATGTTCTCACTAGGACAAGTACAAGTTTAGCTGCTAAACATGTACATTTTCTTGTACAAGATCTTGTACAGGGATTTTCAATAGGTTATAAACTGTTTGAAGTAAAAATTTGGTCACATAAATATTTTGCTGCGTAAGTAGTGTTTTTTTAAATAAAAATTTTTCATTTGCTTTTTTTAAGTAAAACAGCAATTTATCAAACCGTTAAGGGGGCAGTCCACGTTTGAGGTTTGAAAAAATAGATTTTTCTTTTTTTTTAATATTAATAATCTGTAGATTATTAGAAACATATCATATGAAGGAAATTGAGGAATAATTTTTAGTTAATGAGTAATTAAAGAAGTTCGAACTTACGGCCCGAACGTGGATTGTCTCCTTAAAACAATAAAGTAACTTAAATTTTAGGACAGTTATTTAACCATGGTTATTAAGCCAGTTTCAGCTTCATAGTATGACTTATGCATAAGTTACCTTTTAGAACTTGGCCTGTCAGGATTTTGCGAGTTTCTTGTGGTACAATAATCATACTTTCCGTTTCAATTTTATTGTCATCATCATCACCATCATCATCATTTCCTGACTTATCTGATAATAATATAAACTCTTTAAAATAATATATGATTTTATTCTGTATTGAGTAATTTTTTGAACTTATTTTTTACTTTATTATAATTTCAATTAATATATTTTATTTATTTTAATACTCACACTACCGGTCAAAATTGAGAGACCACTTGCAAAAGTGTCGTTAAAAACATGTTCTAAACCGAAGTCTATTCGATCATTTATATTATCCATTTAGTGAAACTTTTAAGAAAAATCTTTTGTAATTTTACAAAAGTTAAAACTGATTTCTCGGTCCTGCGAGATTGCTGTGTAGGGCGTTACACCAAAAAATGTTTTTTCGATTTTCTAAGGCCTTAACCCGAAATTAGACTCACGTTCAAAGTTATTAAGTTTAAGTTATTTAAATTTAAAGCCTCTTAAAATAAGTAATTATTTTTTAGAATGTTTATATAAATAATATATCTTAATTTGGTAAAAAAAATTATGTTAGATATATTGTATATGTTTAAAATTAAAAAAACTCTAAGAAAAAATTGCGTTTCATAGCAACTTCAGAAAAATAATTTTTCCTCGAATTTTTTTTTATTTTATACATATTCAATATGCCTAACATAATAATTATTTTAATGCTGAAAGTTCAAGATTTTATGTAGTACAAATTTTTAATTTTTCTGAACATTTTTCTAGTAGCTCATCAAAATTAGACAATGAAAAATCAATAAAAATGAAAATTACACATGTCTTTATAACATCAAATCTCCGGTTCTATTTATCGTAAAGATTTGAGTATAGATATTTTTTTTAACCGCACTTTTGCAAGTGTTATCTCAATTTTAAGCGGTAGTATAATTAAACTTTTGCATGGAATCAAAAGCAGAATCAACTTTTATTGATATTACTCTGTAAAATTTCTGAGAAAAATGTTACAAAAAGGAAGTTTTAAAAATTCAAATTTAAACTAAATTGGAAAAAATTATATTTCAATTAAAATGGTTTAAAATAAAAAAGTTGTATTAATAACAAATTAATTGCATATTCAAACAAGAAAATGTTATTTTTGTTATAAGGGTCTCACTATGTTTTTGGGGTTCTTTAATTCTAATTCGTGGCCCATTTGACCACAGCACATCAGGATTTTCACATAACCTTAAAAAATTCTCTGCTGAATGTCTTGTAGGTCTTTTCTTCATTTAACCATAGGTCTGATGAAACAATTTTTCAAAACTCTTTGTCAAACGTTTGAGTATTTGAAAAAGATGTTTCCTGGATTTTCTAATAGGCTAAAATTATGGTGGAAGTGTTTAATGTTCCTCAAATTTGGAAACTGTTTAGGGTTAATAATTTTATCAGTACGAAGAATGATCGGGAAAAACAGGCTGGATGAATTTTCGATATCTCTAATATAATACAAAGAACTAAACACCAGGATGATTATGACACGATGTGCTTAAATCAACCTTAAATAAAAGTTTATATCACCTCAAATTTTTTTCTGCACTCAAAAAATAGTAAATTTAACTATACTTTTTAATTATTATCCCTAGTATAACAGCTTCTCAACTGAATTTAAAAAGTTGTATTTACTATGAGGAAGTAGTTAAAAAAAGAAATTGTTTAAATTTTTGTAGTTGATTTAACACACATTTTACACACTACATTTAAATTCTTAAATCATAAAAATTAAAAAATTGTTATGTAAAATTGGTTTAGGCACTAAGACATTTAAATTATAGATATCCGCTATAAGAGACGGTGGGACGTTAATATGATAGCAGATTTTTGCTGTATACTCACAAGAGAGACATATGGATAAGATACAAAGAGTAAAGAAATCCTTTACATAAATCTTTTAAAGAGACTGGAACACAATGCAGCTCAAAAAAAAGAATATATTAGTTTTTAAAATTAGTCCTTTTAAGGAACATATGATAGACAAAACTCGATCGTTCAATTTCCTTCAGTGCATAACAGTTAACGCCACTACTGATGGTACAATGATTTAATAAATTAACGTTAATTGAATAAAAGTAAGTACTATTTAGTAATCAGCAACCCCAAAATCTTGTGAGTAATGTGTTTAACGTGAATATGGCTTCCAAAAACATATAGTACATGGTAACACCCTAAACTATAAATAAACATTTTTTTGTGTGGCTGCGGTATGAAATTATAATAATTGAAAGTTAATATATTACCTGTTTGTGAATCGTGAGGAGATATGCTTTTTAAATCTATAAAATCATCTGCTGAAAAACGAAAAAGTATTTTTTAATTTTACGTTAGTTATACATATATTGGGCTTATATAATGGAAAGTTAGCATCATTTCGGAAACGATTAATTTTAGGATAAAGACCCTGACGTTTCTGACAAATACATTATAGTTTATATTTTTAACCCACTGCCTACTCAGTTGACCGTTTACAAAAAAAAGCAGAATTTGGTCGCCTGGTGGACTATGGGAATTATGTTCAGTGTCAATAGAGTAAGGTTAAGTTAACCTAGGCAGAAGGCTAAAAATTAATTTAAAAAAGTTTCTTTTTTAAAAATTAAAAAAGAAACTTGTTTAAACTTTAATCCATTTAATTGGTTTTAAATTTACCATGTGAAATTTCGGAATTAGAACTTGATAAGAGTAAGTTAATACTCAAATCACTTTCACTCCCATCCCTTAGGATAATTGTTTCATCTCTTCTTTTATTGTTTCTCTTTTTGGGAGTTTCCTTAATGCAATTTCCTAATTAAAAACAAATAATTAATTTATATACAGAGATAACTAGAAAATAATTTATGTTGTTTTTAAGCATAGTGATTAAAATGCAGTTAGGGGAGACCGGGGCTGTTTGGTGCAGAGGTTGCTTGGCGCACTTGAGTTTATTGAAAAATTTTAAGTTAAATTAATTTTTCTCTTCATTCAAGTTAAAGTACTTAGTGAACTGTAAGTTTGTACAAAATTTCATTAATATTCATTAATTATTGTGGAGTATAGAATGAAATAACTGATTTTGGCACACCAAAGTAATTTTTAAACTCTTCATTTTTTGTGTTATCTCTAAAAAATGAATTTTAAAAGAGGTCAAATATTAAGTTTTAAGCTCTATACATTTTTTATTAAGAAACAAAAAAAATTAGTGATTTATATTAACAGTTATCTGAAAATTTTGTTAAATATTAATAAAATGATTAAATGAAGTTGGTTATATGAAATGTACACATTCATAAGCATCAATAACAATCCTTTTCAAAAAAATTTAGCGAATATTTTAAAATATTTACAGCGTAATTGCTGCTTTTAATTAAAATCTAATTTTTAAAATAATTTTATTGTAAAATTACAGTATAAGACTTAGGGTCAATTGGGGTAAATAGAAACAGATTCGCTAAGTTTCACTTATAACATAAGTTTCTTCCTTCAAATCGCAATACTTTCGGTTTTTTTGTGCATGGAGTTATTATTTAACTTTCGTGGAACAATTTTATGAGGTAGTAGAAAATATGGGTATCGTTAAATAGCAATTATCAACTGTTTCTATTTACCCCTAAATTTTTCAACTTTGCTAAAACTTAGGGGTAAATAGAAAATGACGCTGAAGTTACCAACGTTGATTCGACGAATCAACGAAAGAATTTTTCGTTTTCAGATTAGTTTGAAGGCCAAGAAACAATTTTTTTAAATTGAAACTTCTTTATTTTGGTCCCAAATACATTCTTAAATACTAAAAATCCTCAATCAAGGCGGGGAAATATTTAATTTTAGGGAAAAAAAATTCTTTTCGTCGATTCAACGTTGGTAACTTCAGTGTCATAATAGAAACAGTTGATTATTTCTCACAAAATTTAAGAAAAAATTAATTTCAAGTATGCAAATGTTAAAGTATTCAAATAATTACATAAAAAATGGTGTTAATTAGAAAATAATTCACACTATTAAATAATAATGCATTACATAAGTTTGAAGTCTATGTTTGTTAAATACTAATTACTAATGAGAATATAGATGAATACTATTTGCAATACATTTTTATAATGCTGAAAATAGTGTTGTAATTTGATAAAAACAATTTTCTTTCTCTCTTTCTGATATAAGAAATATTGTTTGAATTTCTGTTTCTATTTATCCCGAATTTACAGTTTTTAGGTGTAAATAGAAAAAGTCTTCTATTTTTAATTAAATTCTGCAAAATGAAAAAATCAAAGTTGATTGTTGTAGTAGTATTAATAAGAAATAATTACAAATAATAATATGAATTTTGAATTTATTTTTTTCCAAACGCGAGTCAAAAAAGTGAAAGCGTGTCTTCTTTGATTTCCAATTTTTTATGCAATAGGAAATATCTTTGCTGAAAAAACTTGTACAATTAAATGTACGAATTCTTGTACATGTTCATTAATGAACTTGTACATTTTCTTGTACATGTTCGAGTAATGTTCTTGAACAAGTTCAGCATCCGGAATTAAGACATGTTCTTATATCAGAACTTGTACAAGATCCTGGACAAGAAAATATATTTGTACAAGAAAATGTACATGTTCTTGTACATATTTTTTGTGCTGGTTTCATGTACATTTTCTTGTACCAGATGTGGAACATGTTCTTCTACATGTTCATTTATGTCTTTTAAATTAAAAATTAAAAATTTTAATGGTTGCGCAGTAGTTTTCTTAAGCCTTTACAGCTGCGCAATAATTTTTAGCATGCATAAGTGAAGAGTCTTAATAATTATAAGTTATTAAATTTTAAATTTTTTTCAAAAATATTTTTAAACAAATGTTCTTGCACAAGAACATAAACGTGTTCATGTAAAAGTATTTGTACATGAAACCTTCATAAAAAAATATCTACAAGAACATGTACATTTTCTTGTACAAGTATATTTTCTTATCCAGGATCTTGTACAATTTCTGGTACAAGAACATGTCTCAATTCCGAATGCTGAACTCATTCAAGAACATTACTTGAACATGTACAAGAAAATGTACAAGTTCATTAATGAACATGTACAAGAACTTGTACATTTACTTGCACAAGTTTTTTCAGCCGAGACTCCACGCAACCCCGGGTAGTATGCCAGGCAACCCTGGGCCGAGGTTGTTTGGTATAGCTTCAAATAAAGTGGTATAAAAAGAAAAGTATTAAATATATTGCAACTTTCTTTTTTTAAATTAAATATGAGATGTTACAACAAGTTTTTTATACAATAACTTTTTAAAGAAGCAAAAATTATTGAGTTACACAACAAAGAGTAAAAAGTGCGCCAAGTAACTCCGGTCATTCCTTCATTGTTGAACGCTTTAAATTTTGTTTGAAATTTAGCATAAAATTTTAAAATACTAAAATTAATACATCACAACTGTAAGATTACCTCCATGTCAGTCACCGACTGTTATGCAAAACGTATGTTTGTTATGATTGATATGGTAGTACTCTTACATTAAATTTTAGTTATAAATCACGAACTTCAAATTAAATACTACGCCACAATAGTGGATCTATTAAATTATTCGGGAAAAATGATGACACAATATTGTAGGGTAGGCAATAAACTACAACCATTTTGCAAATTAAATTAAGATTTCAAAAAATTATCACAAAATGTTCCAATCATTTTGATTAAGATTAGTATTTGTAATCATTTTTATTTAAAAAAATTGATTGCATGTTGCTATTTTTACTGTAAAGAGTAATTTTACGTAACCAAACAAAATTTTTAATATAACAATAATACCTGTTTCATCAATGCATGGTGATATTTTTAAGGAAATCCCTTGATCAATATTTTGAGATCTGTATTGAAGTGCTTTTCGTTCTAAATAAATGTAAAAAAATATTATATAATATTTTACTTTATAGTTTCATTGTATTTAAATGTTTTTAAAAACTTACGTCTTGTAATGTTAGAGAATTTTTTGGATTCATTTCTCAAAATAATTATACTTTCAAATACTTCCAATCTATAAGAATTACATTTACTTTTGTAAGTAATTTAGAACTGAACAGAATTTCATAAGAATTTTCACAAATAATGTATGTGGTCTATTTCACATGAGATTTCCGTCGACCCTTTAAATTCGGCCAAATATATTTTCTTCTTGTTCTGTAGTGAAAAAAAAGAGATAAGTATTTTTTCATTTATTTGTTTTTTAATTTTTGAGTTATGATTTTTTTTTAAACATACCTGAAAATACTAAGAAGATTTTGCAAAAAAATTTAGAGTAGGCCGATAAGTTTTATAGGTTTAAATAAACATTTTAACACCATGTGCAACATTTTGCGCATTTTTGAAAATAAAAAAAAATTGGAAAATTGTTAAAAAATTTTTTTTTCATTTTTCATAGTGAAATATGATTTCAGGTTCCAAAAAAAAATTAAATAAATAATTTTTAACAATTTTTTGTAATTTTCAGAAATGTGCAAAATTAAAGAAAATTGTAAAATTGTTAAAAGTTATTTATTTCATTTTTTTTTGGAACCTGAAATCATATTTCACTATAAAAAATGAAAAAAAAATTTGAACAATTTTTTTTTAATTTTAAAAAATGCGCAAAATGTTGCGCGCTGTGTTAAAATGTTTATTTAAACCTATAAAACTTATCGGCCTACTCTAAATTTTTTTTTTGCAAAATCTTAGTATTTTCAGGTATATTTAAAAAAAATCATAACTCAAAAATTAAAAAAAAAAAATACTTATCTCTTTTTTTTTATTACAGAACAAGAAAAAAATATATTTGACCGAATTAAAAGGGTCGACGGAAATCTTACGTGAAATCACCCATATAAATTCAAAATTCGAGCGGGAATCTCTTCATAAGAATTTATTCTAGGCAATAAACCTAAAAAATGATTTTTTAAAAGGTTTATTTTATTTATTGGGTACATTTTTCTCAAAAATTAACAAAAAAAGTGTTTTTGGGACAATTTACCATTGTTTAAAAAAACAGGGGGTAGAAATATGAGATTTTAGAGGTTTATTTTCTAGTTTCTTAAATAAGGAATCTAATGAACTTTTGTTTTTTAAAATTGGTTAGGTAGATTTCGAGAAAAGTCGTACACTAGTTTAAAAAATGTGCTTTCGAGAAAAACGCGTTTAAAGTTTTCAAAACATATTACATGGAGCTAGGACTATGAAATAATTTTTTATTACAACTTTTGTTTTTTCATAGCTTTTAAAAACCGTTTTGGGAAAGTAATTTTATGATCCTAAGGAACATTTTTAAGCAAAAAAAGATCGATTTTTTTGGAAAGAAAGTCCCCTTAAGGTTATGTGACTGTTAGGTATGTAACGTTAATTCGTCCGTAACTTTTCTCATAAAGTACTGAATGAATTGAGTTAGGGATGATCTAAGGTTTAAGGCCTTAATGTAGGGTTAGGAGTGTCGGATTTTCTAACAATTTTTATTACATTTATTTAACAATATATTAACATTTCCTTACTTCACAACCATTCTTTATCATATTTTAAATTCCTTCACAAAATTTTAGCTCAATCCATTCAGCATTTTACGAGAAAATTTACATTTATTATGTAAGCAAGTTTAAATTTATTAGACAGACGTCGGTTGTTTATATTATTCGATATATGGAATTAATATATAAAAACTTCGTAATATACTGAAAAAAAGGTTTGGTATTAATAATCAAACATTTGGTTAGTATTTAAGCAACCAAATTTTTTTTGTTGAATCAACAAAATTTTGATTGTCCCAATCAAACTTCAGTTAAGACAACAAAAATCCCTTTTTTCTAATTTTGGTTGTGTCAAACAAATTTTGATTGAGTTAATTAAAATTTTGTTGATTCAACAAAAAAATGTTGGTTACTTAAATACCAACCAAACGTTTGGTTGTCAACATGAATCCCTTTTTTCAGTGAAGTTATTTTAAATTAATCACTTTTTTAACTTTATAACTGACATACAGTGATAATGGAAAGAAATTAAAATTAGTACATACTAGAAAAAGATAGATGTAAGGATAAAAAGTGAAAGTAAAGTAAAGTCAGAAAAAATGAGAAATCGTTATAAATTTTGATGTTTTTGTAAAGTGCAAAGAGTAAAAATTGAAAATTAATATACTAACTTGTTGGTACTATATAATAATTTATGCCATGTGTCTTTGGCCTTCACAGAAATTTCAGAAGATATTGGCTTCTTCATTCTTTTCACGTTGATTAATTGTTTAATTTTAGCTAAAATTTAACGGAATTATAATTAACCAAAAGAGTAATAACAAATTAAAATAATCTGATATGGTTAAAATCAAACTTTCATTGAATAATATTAATTAAAAACTTGCAATATAATCCTCGCTCGCTAATGCTTGCATAGTTGTAAAAATATTATATATATATATATATATTAAATTCAAAATATACAATATAAAAAATCTTGCAGCAAGCTTCAAATTTCCCACCTAACCCAAGCTTGCCATACGGTTGCTGAGCAGACTTGCTGCAACCTTCTGTACTGATTGGCAAGGTTATTTGTCAACCTTGCACCAACCTTGCGACATGCTTACCGTGCAAGCTTACTAAGAAACTTTGCGATAATATTATTCTGCAATGTTGCAGTAATCTTACACGGCAATCTTTCGGTAAGCTTACTATGCAATCTTGGGTCAGGTGGGACATTTGAAGCTTGCGGAAAGCTTACGTGCTATCTGGATGAATTCATAGCGCTAATTTTTTTTAACCTTTGTGGGACTGAGGAAAAAAATCCTTTTATCGGCAGACGAGGCACCCGGGTACCTATGTTTAATTTATTGAAGATTTTGTATCAGAATCAGTAGTTCAATTAACTTTAAGTGTAGTGGACGTTTCAATGAAAGTAATAATCACATAATATGAATACACTGTAAAGGAAAATCTTACTTTAAGGCCGAAAAGAGGCCTTATTTTAAGAGGAAACATTTTTAAGGCAGCTTTCCTGAATTTACGAAATGAAATTTCCATTATAACTACTAACACTGATTTTAAGACACATCTTAAAATAAAATTTTCTTTTTACTGTGTACATAAACATTGCTAATAAAAAATTATCATTATTAGTTGATTATTAAAAAAACTGTCCATTACGCATTAAGTATTTTGTATATATTCACAATTTCATTGATTTTTCATTGAATAGTATGCGTGTATATACTATTTGCTAGATTGCAAAACAGGTACATATTTAGGCAGATTATTTATGAAATCAAATATAAAAATGTAAGAAATTTATTTTTTATTATTTAAAATACATTTTTAATACAAAATAAATCCAATTCAAACTTAATTTTTATGGTAATTTTTAAGTCAAAAACTGACGTTTTCTTATGAATATTATTATTTAACTATAGTAACTAAATTACATATTTTGTAAAAAAAACTTATGTGCATTACTATAAAAATTAATAAAAATTGTTTAATGTAATTTTTCATAATTTTTTGATAGAAATTTCTACCTTTATCTGCATGAAATGTATAGAGGTACCCGGGTACCTTGTCCGCCTTTTAAGGGTGAAGAAACTTTGTTTATTATTTCCGAATAAGTAAATAAAAAGGTACATTATAAATATTATTAAAACACTCTGTATGAATAAATTTGAAATGTCAAAAAACCTTAGGTCGATACGATTTTAAAAATTATGAAAAAAATCAATTTGAAAATGCAAAAGGTACCCGGGTACCCCGTCAGTCCCATAAAGGTTAAAAAAAGAACTATAATTTTAAGATAAATGTCTCAAATACAAAAATAGTCACCAAATAGTTCTCCAGGATTCTTTGACTTCAAAATTTGCTCCCACATTTTTCTACTAGTCGATAGTGCTGAGTCATATCTTTCAGTTTTTGTATTTACAAAACTTACAAAATTTTCTAAGGTCGCTGTTAAAAGGCTAAAAACATCTTGCGCAAATGACTTTTCTTCTTCAGAATTGCTTCTGATTGCAATTTTGATTAAACATGTACATCCTTCAGCAATTTTAGTTGCTGGCAATAATGGCAAAGCTAAGGCCGAGCTTAAAGAGTCATTTTCATCTTTAAATAAATTTTTTCTAATCCATAAATCTTTAATAATCTGTAATATAATGTGTAAAAAATATTTTGTTCAATTTCAACATTGTTTGTTGAATGCCCTCACAGCAACGGATATTTTAGAATTTACTATGAATGTCCTAGATTTATTCGGAAATAAGAATATCCCTAAAATGTCCTGGGACATCATTTATGAGATTGTATGAAAATGTATAAAATGTATAAAATGATATACGGGTCACATAGAGAAATTTTTCATTTTTTTGTGTCAAAATTGAATTACTTTCGTTAATATAAATTACGTATTTTAATAAATCAGACAAGAAAAAAGTTATTATTAATAGAATAAGGTAAAAATACCAGAGAAAAAGAGACGTTAAAAATTTTCGTAACATACTATAAATGATCTCAAACTGTAGTATTTATGTGTAAACTGTTATTTTGTTTTGTTATAGAATAAATTATAAATAAAAGTGTTTTTTGGTATAAGTTAAAATATATTACTATGCTGATTGTGAATTTTATATTACAATTCAAAATGTCAAACTAATGTGCCGGGTAACTTATTTACAAATGCATCGTATTAGTTTGAAACTAATTAATTGGGTGTTTTTTATGTAAAAAAATATAATTGTTATTAAAACATCAAAACCATGAAATTTTTACTTTAGGTTTTAATTTTCGTGAATTACCATAATTACGACTTTTAAAATTTATGTGTTATATTTGTATTTGACATAGTAAAAAACACTTAAGTGAAAAGTTTTAATGTCATCTGATTTTCAACCGAATTCGATTCATCATACAAAAGGCGATGTCAGATTCGTAATAAAGGACACCCAAAATTTGTGAGTAAAAAAGTTTCAGACATTCTTACTGATTTTTCCTTTTATGTACGACATATTAACTTCGACTTTTTGAAAATTGGCATCATAGGGTACGGTCACACTATCTCATGCATGCACTGTGGATGCATGTAGAAACATTTGGCCATTCACATTTTAATGAAATATCGTGAATGTTTAGTAACTTTCCAGTTACAACCGAAATATTTGGAAAATTATTAAAAATTTACCTAAAATTCACTAGACTTCTTCAAAGTGTGAACGTACAAATGTTTCTGCATGCATGCCAGAAATAGTGTGAAAATACTCTTATTCGTAATTAGTGACATTTTATAGGTAATACGATTTCTTTCTTTCTTGATTTATTAAAATAATCTATGAAAAGTTGTATGATTATATCACAATAATTGTAAATATTCACATAATTTTTTTTATCAAAACTTTACCTTAAGGGTATGTGAGCAAAGGACTTTTTTTGTGATTTGAAACTGTATCTGAAATAAAAAATGATTTCGGGTTAAAATTTTGGAGAAATGATTTTGTTTGGTACAAGAAATCTCGCTGTTCTATTTATTTAATATAACTTAACGCAAAAATAAAGCAATAAATAGTAAAATAATGCATTACATCATAGTTCATTCAGCGGTCACTCGATCGAACTGGCGCTGTTTACTGGAGCACTGACACACTCAAGCAACGTCTGTGTATGCGCCGCCATGTTTCTTTTCATTTTCGTTTAAAAATGTTACTTTTTAAACATCATTATTCAATAATTTAACTAAAAATTATGTATTTTTCGGAGAACAGCGAGATTCCTTGTACCCTAATCTATCATCCCTCAAAATTTTAGACAAAAATCTTTTTTCATTTTAGAGTGAAACGTATACTACCAAAACACATTTCCCTATACTAGGTCACGTGAGAGGTTCCCACATACCCTTAAAGGCTAAATGTAAAAAAAAACCAAGTTCCTTAGAAACAAAAATTAAATACCTCTCGAATGTGGAACCACGAAGTTGTGTACTCAACTTGAAACACCTCCTTCGCACAGTCCACTACGTCATTTGTCAGTGGACCAACAATTAGTTTTAATTTTTGAAAACATTCCTTGCTTTTGAGATATTGAAAAACCTCATTTAAAACTGTCTCATCCATTTTTGAAGAAATAATGGAGTACGCAATAAAGCACTATACATATTAAAAAAACAGTAATAATAATTAAAAGCTTAATATTTTAAAATATTATTATGCCTATAAATAATTATAATGTAGTAATGGAAATTAATTGGGAGAAATTACGAAGATTGTCAAAAAGAGATGAAGTATGTGACAATGTGTAAATGAACGATTTGTCGGATTTATAATTCTGCACGTATCATATGTAAATTTAATAAATCAATAAACTTTAAGTAGGTTAAGGAATTACAGGACAATAAAAGGTAAAAAAATGTTATTTTTAAAAGACAATTAAAGTACAGAATAGTTTGTTAAAGTAAATTTTAAATTAAATTTTTTTTAAAAATTTAATTAACAAGTTAGCCGCGGCGGTTAAAGCGTTAGATGAGGTCTTAGGTTAGGTTTAGGGTCGAGGGTTCGATCCGAGTGGGTTGTAAATATTTATTTAAGTTTTGAAATTTAATGTTCGACGTGTAAGTTTACTGAGTTAAGGGGTTATATGGCTTTTCATGGGTCAAAAAATCGATTCTTTTTTCATTGCATATATCAAAAGTATATACTATCAAGAATGTTTTCCAAAAATTTGATTAAAATCGGAGTATTAGAACCAAAGTTATAGCTGTTTTAATCCGCTACTTCTCATAGAAGAGTATATGCGTTTGAAAATTTAAAGGCTTATCATCTCTGAATCTTAATTTTTAAGAACTACGTTTGCGGTGACTGTAATTTTTTTTAAAACCACCAAACCGATTGGGCTGAAATTTTCAGGGGTTCTTTATACATACAATAGCTAGTGCGTGAACGAAAAAATTTAAATTTGAACAAAAATTAATATTTTTTTGTTCAAAAAACCAAATTTTATAACCCTAAAATCACGATTTTTAAGGAAAAATTATCTTCATTTCTAGAAATTTTTTTTTTTCAAAATCGTTCGTTCACGCACGAGGTAATATATTATACTAACGAAATTTCCATTGTTTTTTAATTTTAGTTAAACTCTGTCTGACTTATCGCAGTCACCGCAAGCAGCTATAAAAAAAGGTGTTTTAGTGTAAAGTCTGCAGTTTCCTTAATTATTTATATTTTTAATAAAAATTTATATACAAGTACATCAAAATATGTACCATTCGATAAAATAAGTTTCGTTTAAAAAAATTGTTAAACAACGGATGAAAATTTTTTTGAAAATTCCTCTTTTTTGACGCGCATAAAGGTATATAAACCCTTAATGAGAATTGTGAATAATATTTATTTTTGTTGTTTGAGCAACTTTTCTCAAATTCAAAAATATAACTAATTGTTCATTTTAAGTTAAATTAATTGAATTTAATTGGAAATGCTAGAAACGCTTTTAGTGTTATACTTTTGGGCGGTCAGGTTGGTTAATAAAATTATAACTTACCTCTGTTTCTACCTTTATAGACACATTCAGGAAAGTAACGTTGAAGTCTTCAAATTTTATCTAAAAGTTTTAATGATTTTACAAAAATATCATATAATGAAAAGTATAGTTATCTTAAATTGAAATATAAGTAGTACATTGGACAATTAGTGGTAAAAATGAGTTATTTGACGAGTATGAAATGGATTGGATTAGAGCAGCGAGAGTCGTGATAATATTAGTGAAATAATTTTTGATTTATAAAACTGTTTTCTTTGTGGTTTGGAATAGTTATTTATTTATCCAAATTTAACTTTGATGTTCTTTAAGGAGGTTTTTGGAATTAACTAAGATAATCAAAACAGAAACCAGTTTTTTTATTTGTCTTGCTCGGTACTTTGAAACGTCTGTCAATGTCGCACTACTTCAGGCGAGTTGCAAATGGTTGCTATGACGAGAATGCTAATAATGAGAATTTATAAAAAGTAAGAAAATATTGAGAAATATTTAAACAAATTTTGTAGCGGCTTTATAATAATTAATTTTTAAAAGAAAACTATTTAAAAAATTTTAATTTTTGAGTGTTTTCTTACATTAAGGAGGGTGTGTAGATCTTCTAAAAGGCATGCTGAACAGAAAGAGAGTAAGGGTGTGGACGTAATTTTCTACATGTATTGGTCTGGTAATTTACGTCTTGGACTTTCTACATATATTACGTCTATTACAAACATAACCTTTAAATGTCACTCTGCTAACATGTTGTTAATTAATAATTAATTGATTTTTAAAAATTTTATGAATTATTTTTTTTAATTAAACAAGGAAGAACAAACACAATTAGAATGAAAAAATTTCCGATTTTTTATAAAATATTTTAACATTTATAAAAATAACATAAAATTCTGTGGAGAGTCTAAGCTCAAAAGCTATAAAGTCAATCATTTTTATATTTAGTCAACGTATTTATGGTATTAAAAATATTAAAATAAATAAACTACTAATTACTTCTAACCTTTTTCGTTTCATTACACAACCTCCTTAAATTAAAATATACAAAAAGTTGTTATTTAGTAACTTAATTATTTAACGGTCACTGCTGTACTTCTTTAATGTATAGGTGTTGTTGTTAATGGTATTAATATTATATTAAAAAAGTAATAAAATATTATTTTGTTCTATTAAATTTTTAAGAGGCCTCTTTTAACGGAAATCAAGTGTTTAAAATTTTTTTAAAGAAATTTATTGTTTAAGGACAACATGTTTCGACAGCATATGCACACACACACATATATATATATATATACAATATACTTTTCAAAAATTCAAAATGACGAAAAAAATTTAAAAATCGTTTAGTTTCATCTGAAACTTGTTATTCGTAGGTTTTTGGGGTTGCTGATCGCGAATCGGGTGTTAGTTTTCAAAAATTCAAAATGGCGGATCCAATATGGCGGAAAAAATTGAAATATCATTTAGATTCCCCTGAAACTTGTTACTTGTGGTTTTGGGGTCGCTAATTACGAAAACTTTTCAAAAATTTAAAATGTCACACAACAATTTAAAAAATCGTTTAGTTTTCCCTGACAATGATTAAAATATAATTTCTATTTAAAAGCAATAAGGTTTTACCTTTTGATGTATGTAACGATCTACCTCACTATTCTAATACTATCCAAAATATATAAAAAAAAAAAATATATATATATATATATATATAATGTTGACTATTAGTTGCGGATAAGAAAAACTGACTCAACCTAGTCAATATTAAATTGTTTACTATTAAATGATTTAAAATTATAATATTTTCACAAGATCTAGTTTGTCTGATTTAAAAAAACTAAGGATTTATAAACAGCGACTTGAAAAAACTTGGATGAATATGTTAAAAGGAAAACATTTATTAAAAAAATAAATAAAATAAATATAATAAAAATAAATATCTATTTTTTTCATAAAAAAGGACTTTGGACCTGATGAGGACGGTATATGCTGTCGAAACATGTTGTCCACAAACAATAAATTTCTTTTAAAAAGTTTTCAACCCCTAATTGCTGTTAAAAACGCCTCGTAAAAATTTAATACAACAACTTAATATTTAAAAACGGATGTAAAATATTTCAACAAAATTTTATTTTAACCTGAGATGTTTCATCGAAATAGATGATTTCAAATGGTTCATCTGGTTCTTGAAGTTCAAAAATAGCAGTTCCATTATTAATAATCGTACACCCTTCTTCATGTTTTAATTTATCAAAAAACTGTAGAAGAGTACGAATGCTAACCATTTTTGACATTTCAGCCTTTTTCATCCTGGGACGTAAACCTTCGAATGACAGCTTGACACTATAACTATATAAGTATTGTACATCTTAATAATGAGAAAATTTTATATGTGACAAGGAAAGTTAAAAGAGACCTACGGTCAAAAAGTACGATTTCGATAAAAAAATAAGTGTATTCAAAAGTAAAATTCTTTAATTCTGTTTAATACCAGAATTTCTCACCTATACTAACTTTACAAGTTAAAATATTAAATAAATAAATAAAATGATTTTATCACTCGGTCGATATTAAATAAAAAACATGAAGATAATGATCACTCCGAGTCAAGGCCTTGACTCGGAGTGATCGTTATCTTCATGTTTTTTATTAAAATATTAAAATTAATTATTAAATTAATTTCATTTAATTCTGTAATGTATAAAAGTTCTACGAATTTGCAGAGCTTTTAGATATATGTCGTCCGAGTGTAATGCTAATAATTTCTTCTTTCATCTAAAAATGGCATCTATTATCACCCTGGGGTAAAAATGAACAGCTAGCCTATGAATTTTTTACCCTAGTATAAAAATGGATTCCATTTATACATGGCAGAACAAATTAATGGGCTTTTTAAATGGCCGTCAGGTAACCTGAAAGTGCCAGGTTTATGTCCTTGGAATAAAAAATATCGTAATTAATACAAGTCATAAAGGTAGCCAATTGTTTACATAGACCTTTGCGAGTAATTGATTACATAAACAAAGGTTGCCTTTAGATTTTTTTGTTAAATATACTATTTTTATGTGTTGTTTTATTCTAATCCAACCTGCAATTACATTTACTCTCCAAGATTGTGAGTTTATCATTTTGTTGAAAAAAAAACCTCAAATACATTTACTAATTTCAATACTAATGGGTGGCAACCGAAAAACAAAAATAACTAAAAAGGAAAATTACAACAAAATTTTTTACTTAGACAACCGGAAATAAAAAATCATAACCAAAATTTTACGTTTAGTTAGATAAGATTTTTTTTGTATTAAGTTGTTGGAGGCAGTCGCATTATAATTTTTATGTACAGTACCGTCCAGAAGTATCAGGACGATTACACGCGACTCTCTGAAAAAACATGCCATCACTTTTCCAATCATATTTCTGCAACAAAAGGAGATACAAAAAAAACTCAAAAACGGTTAGAAAGCTTATTAAATTTAGAATAAAATAAGCCATGTTTGAAGCCATTCCGTTAATAATTTTCCGAGTTGTAGAGTGAGAAAGATGGATGGATGGAAAGATGGAAATTTATTTTAAAGCTGAAATTCTAGTGAAGATTTCTGTGTTTTTAAAAAAATTTTATCTAAATTTTTCTAGATTTTTGAAAATGTTGAACTCAAGAGACCAAAATTAGAAAATTTGATAATATTTTTTCCATCTTTCTCACTCTACAACTCAGAAAATTATTAACGGAATGGCTTCAAACATGGCTTATTTTATTCAAAATTTAATAAGCTTTCTAACCGTTTTTGAGTTTTTTTTGTATCTCCTTTTGTTGCAGAAATATGATTGAAAAAGTGATGGCATGTTTTTTCAGAGAGTCGCGTGTAATCGTCCTGATACTTCTGGACGGTACTGTAATATATACCGTTCACATGTTTCTTTGAAAATTTCGGATTTGCTTCTATTTGTTTCACGACAGAGTCTTAAAATTTCACTTTCTGCTTTTTTTTTTAATAGATAATCGACATTATTTTCTGTTTGACCGCAAGTATGATCTCCATGTATTTCCCATTCGCCATCATTCGACAGAACAATTTTTGCTATACATTTTTTATAACGAAATGCACAGTAGGCAGTTGAAGTAATGTCATCATTAGTAGATGATCGATAATATTTAAATTTATTATATAATATAACTTTTGAATTTTGAATTTTTCCTTCGAAGGTATACATTTTCTGGAATATTGAAACATTTGTAAAATATAATTTTTTAGTGAATTACTATATGAACTAGAATTGTGCGACCAATATAAAAAAAATAAGTTACATTTTGACAAAATTGCGATATCAACAATAAAGAGTGCCTGTGAAATATTGTATTATTATGCGATCGGACCAGTTGGCCTAACCGCAATATCAATTTTGAGTTGTGAGAAAAGGAATAGATCCTGGTCCCCTTATTGGCCAGATCTAGTTTTCTTCACGCAACGGAAAGTAGAAATTGCGATTGGGACAGCCTGTCGAAGCACTTAATGCACTATTACAGAGATAACATAAATTTATAAATATTTCATTGCAAAATATTTAGGAGTAAAAATATATAAATATTGGTAAATACTTGTTCAATATGTAAACCTTTTAATAGGATTGTTTATTTCTCCAAAAAATGGAATTAAGCTCTTGAGCAGTCACTTAAAAAATTTTCTAAAAATCTGCAAATTAATATTAGATAACGGGATTATTTTAAAACATACGTATGTATGGGAAATTTAACATAATTAACACTGTTTTCTTGAAAGTATCATTTTGATACCGAATCGGATTAAATTGATTCCAATATTTGATTTCAAATATTGTGATCAATTCGTTGCAATTTGATACTTTCAAATTAACAGTGCAGATTTAAAATTCGCTTGAATTTTATTCTTTCTCGATCCTTAGGGTCAGTTGGGGTAAATGGGGACAAAATCGCTATTTTTTACATTACGTAAGTTTCTTCCTTTAAAAAGTAATATTTGCGGGATTATTTTTTCTAAGTTGTTATTTACATTCCCAAGATTAATTTTATGCAGCAGAAAAAAATTTAAATAAGCTTTAAACGCATGAAACTGACTGTCCCCATTTACCCCAAAATTTAGAAAATTTCATAAAATTAGGGGTAAATGGGGCAAGCATTATAATAGTTGAACCAATTAAAATTTTTTTATTTTATTTTATTTTACTATTTTGTCTCGCATTTGAAAAAAACAGACTTAAAAATCATACCAAATTTTTTTCTTATTTCTTATGACTCCCATAACAGGGAGGACTCCCATTTGGTTAATAACGACAAGCTGTCCCCATTTACCCCAAAAATTTGAAAACTCAGGATAAATGGAGACAGCTTGTCATTATTAACCAAATTGACAAAAATCAAAAATTCAAGTGAATTTCTGTTATAGGAGTCATAAGAAATAAGAAAAAAATGTGGTATGATTTTTAAGTCTGTTTTCTTTGAAATGCTCGACAAAATACTGAAACAGTTTGACTTTGATTTTCAAGTTTTTATGCATTGAGCGATAACTTTTTTTATCTTGCTGCCAATTGTCAAGATAAAAGCTTGGCAATACTCAAAATCTCTTGCAGGTGATCTGAGGTTAAAATATTAACGTGAACTTAATTTTAAAACTGTAAATTAAGCTCCAAAATCTCTTGTCCCCATTTACCCCAACTGACCCTATATAAAAATATCCCAGGTGTATTTATTTAAATAAGTAATTAATTTTCCAGATTATAAATATTTTAAGTTTCGGTTTTGTAAAAGTAGACTCATTTTGAGTATCATATTTCTGAAAATATTTACTTTATATGATTTTTGTAAAAAGAAGAAAAATTTAGTTTGTTTCAAGTTATAAATTATTTTAACAAAAATACCTATGTTGTTTTCATTATGAAAGAAATATAAAAGTGAATTTTTGTTGGCGCGTTAAAAGTTCAGTGTAAGTCTACGTAATGATGAGAAGAACCTAGTTAAGTTGTTATAAAAAATCAACGTTGTGAGAAAATGAAATTGTATCTCTTTTAAACATATCAATTAAAGAATTATTACTATATGGTTCTATGGTAACAGAAAAAAAGAGTCACAACTATTCTCAAAACTAAAAAATTAATCATTAATAGAAGAGTAGAGCAATAAATAGCTTCATTATAAGTCTGTAAAAAATTATATTAATAGAAAGAAATCTTGATGTCATCAATGGAATATTCATAACTGTTTGGAATTCACTGTAATCAACATTAAATGAATTTTGTACATTTAAATCCGAATAAAATTATTTTTCCATACACACTAATTTAAAAGTATCCAGTTGATACTAAAAATATCAAATTGATACAAATTTTTATATCACTTTGATATTTTTAAATTAGTGTGCATACTTTTCATCTGTTTTATAAAATTTAACTAATATTGTGAATACTCGAAATGCATATTCTTTTACAAAACCAAAATTTAAAAAATTCGTAACTTGAAAATTTATTAATGTCTCTTAGTTCAGCTATTTAATTATTTATTACAATATTTTATTCTTTAAAAAGTAGAAGTAGTACTTCATCAGAAGAATGTGAGGCAAGTAAGTTATAGTATATTGTTTAAGGGGAGTTCTCATTGTGGCGACAAAACACAATATAAAATTTGAAATTTTTTTGCGCGGATCAATTATGACTTATCAATACAGTTTTTTTTTATAAATAAAGATACATCTTTGAACTATTAAAAAAAAAATTTATTTACAGAAAATTAAAAAAACGTCAGTCAATATAAGGAATGTAAAAAGACACATTTTTTAAATACATGAAACCGTGGGACTCTGCACTCTACAATTTTAAATGAAGAACAATAAACCAGAAATTTTTATAAAGTAGACATCCTAAAGAAAGTATACCTATAAAATGACCAAAAAATTAAATAATTGACAAGATGGCGTAAAAAGCTTTATTGTTAACAATTGTACCATATTATAGGTATGACCCTAACAGAATGTAGTCATCTTTAATTAGCCACAAACCCGAAGTTAATTACTAATTAATTAATAGTTCATTAGCTCAGAAAACAGGTTAGTTTAAGAAGCTGTAAAAACGAAAATATTTTTCGGATCGGAAAATATCTTTACTCATATATTATGCACATATATAGCTTTCAAAAAATGCAAAAAATTTATATTTTTTGAACCTCCGCAATGAGAACCTCCCATTATTAAAAAAAACAAGCAAAATTTGTTATCGATAATGAGCTTTTACTCTATATTGAAAAGTTTTTAACATTCGATATCAAAATAAAAATATACCCTCCTGCTTCAAGATTTTGTTGAGCCAAAAA